AAAATATATATTTTTAAATTTTCTGAGTCCCTGTGAATTCACTACCAAGCCATTTCTTATAACACACACACACACACACACACACACACACACACACGGGGGGGGGGGGTACCCCCCAAAAAACAGAATTTTTTTTCAAAACTATGTGTTACATATTTTTTACAAAACAACCTTATCACCTTTAAAGTACTCTCCATTATGCTTAATACATTTGTCAAATCTGGGATTCCATTCTTGGAAATATTTTTCAAACTCATCTATCTGGATGGCTGAAAACACCTCTTTTTTTTTTCACCTCTTCTATGTTGTCAAATTGCTTTCCTTTCATGTCCCTCTGCATTCTCAGAAACAAAAAGAAGTCTCACAGAGTGAGGTCAGGTGAGTAAGGTGAGTGGGGCAAGTGAGGCATGCTATTATTTTTGCCAAAAACTGGTGTGCTGAGATGGCTGCCTGAACAGGTGCGTTGTCCTGGTGGCAAAACCAGACACCCCCCCACCCAACCCTGCCCGTCTGCCACAAATAAGGATTTTTTGTCGTAACTTTTCAGAACCTCTAAATAGAAAACTTGGTTAACAGCCTGACCTGGTGGAATGAGCTCCAAATCCACTACAAGCCACCGTTTTCATCCATTGGGAAGGTGAGTGACGTCCAGAACGATGTTTGTCATCAATCCACCTTTCACCTTTTTTGGAAATGAGAAGAATACACTCGAGTTTTCCCATAGCACTGTCCTTGTAAGCTGTGTTCAACATCACAACAGTTTCTGTGACATTTTTCCTGAACAGGAAACAAAATTTCACATCTGCACGCTATTTTCTGAAATCAGCCATCACAAAAAAATGAGGTTCAAACGAAGTGGCTTTTATGAAAAAAAAAACTTTACTGAGACCAGAGAGAACCTTCCATGGTGATGCCACTGCATGCACTAATTCAGAGTGAACTTCTGGATGCTTACCGAGTGGGAAAAATGTGTATTGTGAAAGTGTGACTCCGCCCAGCACAATCCCGGTTTTGGGGGATACCCCCTCATGTGTACTCTCCTCATTTCCTCCCCTTACCTTTCTCCACCACTAAGAAATAACCACTGTTCTGAATTTTATGTGGAGCCGTCCCTTGATTTGTCAATTTTGGATTTTATCAAATAACTGTATACGTTGGAACTGTTGCCTGTTTGATGTTTGTAAGAAGAGCATCATATTACATGCAGACTTTTGAGATCTTCTACACTCAGTGTAGTTATGAAGACGGCGAGTATTGCTCTGTGTATCATTCTCCCTGCTCTGCTGAAAAATATCTCTTTCTTTGAAAATACTACCGTGTATTTTGTCAGTGAAATTTTTGTTTGTTTGTTTCTCCTGGATTTTGATCATTTGAATCACAGAATGTTACATACATTCTTAAACATGTCTGGACACACATGCAAGAGGCTTTTAAAAAAAATTGGTTTAAAACATGTCATTTTAACAAATTTAAATCTATAATTCAATGGCATTAAATGTATCCATCATGCTGTACAACCATCTCCACTATTAGTTTCCAATTTTTTTCCCCCTCATCCTAAACAGAAACTCTGTACCCAAAAAATCCATCCCAAAGAATGAGCGCCATTGCTATCCCCTCCACTGGGCATGGTCATCACAAATCTACTTTCTGTCTCTATGCATTTAATTATTCTAGTTATTACATGTAAGTGGGATACTACGATATTTGTCCCTTTGTGCCTGGCTTTTTTTTCACTTAGTACCTTATTATAGCATGCATTAGAACTTCTTTCCTTTTATGGTGGAATAATATTCCATTGTATGTGTAGAGCACATTTTGCTTATCCATTCATCGGTTGATAAGTGTTTGTTTCCACTCTCTGGCTTATAAGGATAGTGCTGCAGTGAACACTGGTGTGTGTGTATCTGTTTAAGTAAGTCCCTGTTTTGAATTCTTTGGGTTATAAGTACTAGGAATGGAAATGCTTCCAAATGAAACCCACTGCCATCGAATCAATTCTGACTCATTCTGACTCATTACTCAGAGTAGAACTGCTCCCAAGGTTTCTGAGGCAGTAAATCTTTACAGGGAAACTGCTGCTGGAGTTGAACCACTGACCTTGTAGTTAACAGCCCAAGTGTGACCTGCTATGCCACAGGTCTCCTTGCCGAATTATGGAATCAAATGATAATTCTATGTTTAGCTTTTTGAGAAACGGCCAAATTGTTGCAAAACAGCTCCGCCATTTTACATTCCAACCAGCAGTGAAGTTGGGTTCAAATTTCACTACATCCTCACCAGCACTTTTTTATTTTCTATTTTTAAAGTATTCCATGATAACTATATTGTTAGGTATAAAGTGGTATCTCGTTTAGTTGTTTATCTTCTGGGTGAAATGTCTATTCAAGTCTTTTGGCCATTTTTAATTATATTGTTTGTCTGCTGTTGCGTTGTAGGATTTCTTTATACTCGATATTAAGCCTTTATCATATATATCATTTTGAAATATTTTCTTCCACTCTAAAGGTTGACTTTTCACTTTTTTTAATAAGTCCTTTGTGTACAATAGTTTTAATTTTGATGAAATTCAGTTTATTCATTTTGATATTTTTTGTGCATTTGGTGTCATATCTAAGAATCTATTACCAATTCAGTGTCCAAAAGATTTACTTCAATGTTTTCTTCAGGGAGTTTTATGGTTTCAGTGATTTTATTTAAGTCATTAAGTTAAGTTTTATGTAGTGTGAAGTAGAACTCAGCTTTAATCTCATTCTTTTGCCTATAGAAATTCAATTATTCTGACATTGTTTTCTGGGGGGAAAAATCTTTATCCGTTGAAAGGAATTCACACCTTTGTAAGAAATAAATTGCCCATAGATCACTGGTTTATTTCTGGAGTATCTATTTGAGTCTATTTGTCCATATTTCTTATTCTAATACCACACTGTTTTGATGACTGTAGCTTTATAGTACATTTGAAATTGGGAAGTGTGGATCCCTCCCACTTTCTTCTTCTTTTTAAAGATTGCTTCGGTTATTCCGGATCCTTGGCAATTTCAGATAAATTTAAGAATTGTTGTTTTCTTTGTGCAAAAAGATTTCAAAATTTGATAGAGATTTCATAGAATATGTTATGTGTTTTCAGTAGTATTGACATCTTAACAATATTAAGTTTTCCAACCCCTTTATTAGGATTTACAGTTAAAAAAATTCTTTTCAGCAATGTTTTATAGATTTTGATGTACAAGTTTTCACCTCCTTGGTTAAATATGTAACTAGATGCTTTATTTTTCTAAATGCTATTATAAATAAAATTATTTTCCTAATCTTTATTTCTGATTATTCACTTTTGGTGTGTAGAACCAGCGCTGGTTTGTGTGTTGATCTTGTACTCATAGATTTGCTCTAGTAGCTTTCTTGTGAAATCTTTGGCATTCCTTATCATCTGCAAAGGAGATAGTTTTACTTCTGTTTTGGTTTGGATGTTGTTCAAGAGTCTTGGGGAGTTTATACCTAGAGGCGAGATTGTTTAATTTTAAAATATGTAAATATTTAACTTTAGAAAATAATGTCAAATTGTGTTTCAAAAAGATTGTACCTGTTTCTGTTCTAATCATCAATGTATAAGAGATGCCCCTCATCCACATCACATCCTTTGAATACTTGGACCTGTTAGACTTGGAGCTATTTTTGTCAATGAAGTCGGTAGAAATGGTATTTTCTTTGTGGTCTCCAGTTTCATCTATTGCTATGTGTTAGAATCTACTGACTGACAGTGTGTTTCGTGCTTTCTGATTCTTCACAGATGAACACAAATTTTTATGTTTATGGGCCATGGCCACATATATTTCTTTGTGTGATACCTGTTCATATCTTTCCATTAATTTTATTTATTTGTCTTTTTGCAATTGCTTTTATTGATTTTCAGATTTTTTCATGTTTTTATCATATGAATCCTTTATTTGTTGCAAATATGTGCTTTTAGTCTGTAGTTTGTCTTTTCATTTCCTTTTAGTGTAATAGTAGTTAAAAAGAATGAGACCTTCCCCCCTCCTCTAGAAAGTGAAACATTCATGAAACAAATAACACATACTTTATGCTAGTTAACTTTCTGGTAGGCTTGTTTTTGCCTCCAAAACCAAACAAAACATCCCCCTTACTACCTTCAAATCAACTCAGTGACCCTAAAAGGCACAGTAGAGCTGACCCTATGGGTTCCCGAGACTGTCTTTAGGAGAGTAGAAAGCCTCGTCTTTCTCCTACAGAGAGGTTGATGGTTTCAAACTACTGACTTTACAGTTAGCAGATCAATGCATAATTCACTACATCACCAGGGATCCACCCGACAATTTGTTGGAACATTCAATGTTGTTTCCGTTTTTTGTCTCTCCTGTTCTGCCTTACCCATGGTTCCAAACAGGGAAACCTGTTGGCAGTGTGGGGGTTCTTGGAACTCTGTGTGGAGGGCGGAGGGAGCACTCTTTCTTGTGGAACTGCTGCCGGATTTTCTTTTGAGTAGTGTTTTCATTCAAGGGAACTGACTGGCCTTACAGTGTCTGGCTTGCCTAAGAAAATAATGAGCAATGTTACAATGTGGTTCTATTGTCTGAAAAGCTCTTTGGGCAGCGCTAGAAAACCAAAACAAAAGAAAGAGCGGGGAAAGAAAGCATGGTTTGATAAATTTAGCCTAATACTCTGAATATTGTTTCAAGGGTTGTCTGCTGAAAATTCTCTAATTGAAAAGGAAAACTCACATCCTTTCTAGCCCACTCACCGATGAGAGCCAGGCTAGGACTTCTCCCTGCGATATAGGAGGGCTTCAACAAGTTCTTGGAGAAATGGCATTAAAAGACTGGATTTTTTCATGAATGATTTGAAGTCCCCTTGAATATGCACTTGAACGAGGTAAAATTATGATGCATTCTAAGGGTGGCAAATTATAGGAGTTTTAAGTTTTCTCATGTGTGTTTTTGTAATTACTGAAAAATCATCATGTGAGGGAAATACCTGTTAGCTTTTGCTGTTTGACTATCTGTTCTTAGAATAAATGGTAAGTAGTGGCTATGAGTTGGACTGCTAGCGGCAAAGTCTGCAGTTTGAAACCACCAGCAGCTGCTCCGAGGGAGAAAGACAAAGCTTTCTACTCCTATAAAGGGTTACAGTCTCCAAGGGTTACAGTCTCCAAAACCCACAGGGGCACTTCTACCCTGCCCTATAGGGTCACTGTGAGTCAGCATCGGCTCCATGGCAGTGAGTTTGGTTTGGTTTGAGTGAATTCTACACCATTGACTTCATTCACTGGTAGTCGGGAGTGGGGGGGTGGGGGGCAGTAAAATAGCAGACTTGCTCACCAGCTGGAATCATGAACCACTCAGTAATAAGCACTGATCACCATATATTGACTTACGTTCATCGCTATCGGCTTGTTTTATCTGCCAACAACCAGAAGAAGCAGATATTGTTATTACGCTCCTCTTACAAGGAAGGAAATGGAAGTCCATGGCCTTAAAGGTGCATAGGTGTCACCTGAGACTTGGGGGACCACCTACTCCAACCTTCTGGTCAGGAATCATTTGGACTCAGCTTGGACACTTTAGAGGCAGGGAGCTTCCACATGGGGGGAATCTCACAGGGTAGGCAAGGGGCTTCATGGAT